GTGATCCTCTTACCATCTTGGCTTCTGAGAGACACTGACACTCTGAGAAGCTCTTTTTATACCCAATCATGTTGTCAATTGACCTAATTAGTGTTAATTGGTCTTCCAGCTGTTTATTATATGCTCAATTTCCTTTTTCCAGCCACTTATTGCCACTTGTCCCAACTTTTTGGGGATTTGTTGACACTGTGAAATTTTGAATCAACATATTTTTTCCTTTAAAATGTTAATTTACTCAGATGAAACTTTTGATCTGTCATCTATGTTATATTACGAATGAAATATTGACATTTGCCATCTCCACATCATTGCATTCAGTTTTTATTCACAATTTGTTTAGTGTCCCAACTTTTTTGGAATCCGGTTTGTATTTAGTGGCCACCACAACCCAAATGAGTGTGTATCTGATAAACACCTGAATCTAAACACTTGTGTGAGCATGCTTGTCACTATAAGGGTTCTCCATAAAAATGTTCAATAGTGGATGTGGGGACCTACAGACCCATCCCCATAGGACAAGATGGTAACATAGGGAAGACCGGAACCACAGACACACAGCGGCCCCCAAGCCCGCAACTCCAGGAGTCCCCCTACAGCAACACCCGCACCCCCAGAGAGAGAAGCAAAGGGAACCCCCATGCAATCCCCAGCCACCACAATGCACCCAGGAGGCTGCAGCAACGAGTCCACAGGCCCCGCCAGTAACCCGCCCCTCCAGAGTAGATCTGGCCATGGACACCGAGCCCCGAGTCCCGAGGTCATACCACACCCCAACAGAGGCCAGGCAGAGCTAGGGCACCCAGGCCCCGGCAGGCAGTCACCAGGGCATGCCCGCACACACCCCACTGCCCAGCCCCAGCCACTGAGAGCTGTCAATGCACCGGCGGCAGGGGGCCCACCACTGGAGGGGAGTACAACACACCAAATGGGGTGGGGGTGGGGGGGGGCAAAATTGATCCAAGTGAGGGGACCACCCAAAACCCAACCTGAGACATAAACAAGCACACAGAGACAGCCCGACAGAGCTTCCGTCAGGCCGTCCATGTGCCCCACCAACCCGACAGCGACCGCAGGCCGACCGCAGGCCGGCCCCAGGCCGGGGGCCAGAGCAACAGGGAACAACAGCCAAGGAAGGCCGGCCCAGCGCACCAATGCTCACAGAATCCCTACTGACGTTGTGTCTGACCGTGGGCCTCAGTTCACATCCAGGTATGGCAAGCTTTCTGCAATCTTACAGTCAATCTGAACGTTGCAGCCAGGAGCTAGAGACCGCCCTGCATTGTGTCATCGAAGATAACCCATCCTCTTGGAGTAAACATCTCATGTGGGTAGAGTATGCACACAATACCCATACTTTTTCTGCCACTGGATTATCTCCTTTTTAGGCTTCTCTGGGTTATGCTCCACCACTTTTTCCAAGCCAAGAGTCTGAAATATCTCTTCCTTCTGTCCAGCACAATTTCCGTCGCTGCTGCAGAATTTGGCACCAAACTAAGGCTGCGCTCCTATGTACTACCAACCAGAACAAGAGACATACTGATCGCCACCAGTCTCTAGCCCCCCAAGTACCAAGTAGGTCAAAAGGTTTGGCCTTCCACCAGAGACGTTAAAATAAAGGACAGCCCCAAGAAACTCTCTCCTCGTTTTATTGGTCCGTTCCCCATCATTAAGGTAATCAACCCATCTGCGGTACGTCTTAGACTGCCTTCCTCCATGCATATTCACCCCACTTTTCATGTATCCTAAATCAAACTAGTCTCAGAGTGCCCCTTGAGCCCACCTGCCGACCTCCCTCCAACCCCCCCATCTCATCAACAATCCCCCCGCCTTTACTGTTAGACATATTCTGAATGTGAGACGTCAAGGGCGGGGGTTCCAGTACTTAGTAGATTGGGAGGGTTACGGCCCGGAAGAAAGATCATGGATCCCGAGATCTTTTATTTTGGACCCCAGCCTGATCTCTTCCTTTTTCAGGGCCCACCATGAGAAACGCCTGGGGTCACCAAGAGGCAATCTTTGAGTGGGAGGTACTGTAGGGGTTTCAGTGTGTTCTCTCCACAGACTCTTGAGCTCCTGCAGCAGAGTTAATCGTGCTCAGCTACTGGCCATCTCCCTAATTACCTCAAGGACTATAAGAGGCTGCAGACTTGCTTCATCCAGTGCCGCAGCATATCTTGCTGAGGGTAGTTGTGCTCCTGGCCTTTCAGTGTTTATACTCTATATTTTGAAATACTTACCTTTGTGTCTCCTTCACTTCTGACAGACCTTGGGTTTCCCTGCGCCTCCAGTCCTGGACGTTTTCATGCATACCTGTGGATTGATCCGTACCTACCTGATCTCAAGTTTCTCCTCGTGGACTCTAACCAAACTGCTACCCCTCCTGCCTCTGCCTCCACGCTCCACCCATGCATCTATCTCTTGCTGGAATTTGGATTCATTATATCTCCACCCTGTGTCTCTCCACTTGTCATTCACAGTAAGAAGAACATTATTTTTTCGGTCCATCAAATCATCCATCGTTCAACCAATAAGACTCTAATCATCTCCTCTTTCCCTTCCAGGAGTTTCCAGTTTCAGCTCCTGTATACAAGACTGTTTATTATTATCACTGTAAAATAAATCACCCTTTATTTATGATCCTGAGTCTGTTGTCCTTCAGTCCGTTCTTTATGGGTACACTCCATCATTATGACACCCTGTGGACATGTCCTTCAGGAAATATGAGAAAGATATGATAGCTTTTGGCTCTCTTCTGGCCAGAACACTAGTTTTGTGCAATTGGAAGGACCCACACCCCACAGCACATGTACATTGGAAAAGAGAAGTGATGTAATTCAATGATTCAATGATTCAAGATTCTTTATTGTCATTCGCATCGCATGTGGTACATGAGGTAGAACAGAATTGTGTTCACAGGGTCCCAGTTACATCTAACTATAGCAAAAATATGAATTGTAAAAAGTAAATAAGGATCTAAGATATAAACTATGATATAGACTAAACGAATGCCCAACGGTACGCTAAAAGATCTAAGATATACACTAGTCACTAATACCGCAACACAATACACAAAACAACAGCAACATGATTCTCATAGGTTCGGTTCGGCTATAATTTACATGCTTAATGCGAGCGGAGTTGGGCTCAGAGCCTCAAAACTAACATAAATTGGGATTTATTCAAAGTATACAACAAAAATACAGAAACAAGATGCCAACAGGGAAAAAGAAATAAATCTACAGCAGCATGGTCCTATTGGCAGAACAGTTCTGATGACAGTGAGGTTACCATAGCAACATGGTCCAGTTAGCAGCATTGTACTGTTAGAAGTTAGGTTCTGTAACAATGAGGTTTCTCTTAGCAACATGGTCACATTGGCACCATGGCACTGTTAGTGGTGTGGTCATTAGCAGCATTAGCAGGTCTTGTTAGCAGGTCCCGTCAGCAGCTTGATGATAATAAGGACCGCAGAAGCTGCCTCCCAGACTGCCCTCTAGAACCGGGTCTGGCAGACAGAGAACATCCAAGATTCCCCCGCAGAACCAAGTGTGTCCATAGAGTTCGATCCGTACAGGCAAATGAAGGATCTTGTTAGCAGCGTTAGCAGGTCTTGTTAGCAGGTCCCATCAGCAGCTTGATGGTAATAATGACTGCAGCACCTCCCCTCCCAGACTGCCCTCCAGAACCGGGTTGGGCAGACAGAGAACATCCAAGGTTCATCCAGGTCCCCCTTCTGCTCAACCCTTCACTTTGAAATACCTCCACATAATTTATTCTTCTTCTGGTGTATTACTGGTGGTTTGCAAACACCTATATGGTGCATTACTTCCACCAACTAGTGATAAATGTGGATAAGGAAAGCCACCTCAAAAACACCTCTATATAGCTAACATTGCTCCTACTCTATCTCCTGACTGCTCAACTATCGGGTGAAAGTCACCATGCCATAAAGTCATAATGTGGTATCAAAACACTGCTATGAGTTCAAGTACAAGTACACAGTATGGTACAGATATACAGTACCCAACAATGCAAACACATTATATATCAGTATTGGTACAACCATGACTTAAATGTATAAAATACTGGCAAAGTAAATGTATGATAAACAGCTTTTTGGCAGGGAGGAGACACATGGAAAGTGAGACAAGTATTCTTGTGTGTTTACCTCTACATAGTTGAGTAGCGTGTTGACAAATTTAAATCCTGGGATCCTCTTGTCGCTGCACACGACTCCGACATCTTCAGTGTGTTTGCAGTCAGAAACACCGATCCCATTGGACTGACACTGACCCAAAGTCTGTTCTCGGCCCGTGCAAAGAAGGTTGTCAAACCAGATGGGTCCTTTTGGAATAACAACAACAACAACAACAAAAAAGGTTGAATCATGTCATCTGGACTTCGTTTTTTT